TTCTGTACATAGACCAGGTCTACCAAAGCAGGCAACCTTTACAGATGGCTTTCTGTGCCCCATAAACAGTGGTCCACTAGCATGTTGGTGTGTTTCCTGAGCCCAGGGCTGGTCATTTTTGTCATTTTATGAAACTGTGCAAGGGAATTAGAGTGCATCGTTAACAAGGTATTTGGAAAATCACAGTAACCAACTCTCCATCCAGTCTTGAAGGGAAAAATATGTCCCCTTGGAGGCGGTGACAGAGACAACTACCCTGCATCTTCAGAGGTGTGCTCCTGGACCCTCATTTTCGCCTGGCACAACTATCTTTCCTTCACAGCAGAAGCTGCCAGGCAGGCTAAGCTGAGCCTTTTTTGTTTACAGGCCAAAAGGTGATTTTCCCTGCAAACGCTGGAGGGGAATAGAGACAACAGTGGCTCCATGCTACCCTTATGTGCTACTATGATTCCGATCAGTTTGTTCCCAACAACAGGGGTTTAAGACTGCACTTTCCCTTCTTTCTGGAACTTCTTGGTAAAACAGGGCAGGGCGGGCAGCATGTAAACACTTCGAGGGTTGGAAAAATAATAATTTAATGGATTGCTTCAGCACATCTTCACAGCTTCATTTGGGTTGTATCCGTCCCCGCACAAGCGCGCGAGGAGCCGCCGCTTTGCTGCTGCTGCTCTTTTTTTCCAGGCATCGAGTTGGTATATTCCCTTTCACCTTGGCTGCTGAAACAAAGACAAGAAGCAGTTCTGCCATACTCTGGCAATTTACATGATGTCCTATATACATACAACGTAATCTGCCAGCAAGCCTTCATTTAGGCAAGCTTTCTCCCATACAATTGAAATCCCAAGTTGTTCACCACAGATACTTCCAACAAGGAAAAATAAGGGTCAGCAGACATGCCAAAAGTAAAGTCTGGAGCAAGCAGAGGTTTCACTTATCTTGTCCTTTCTGTTAAAAGCTGCATAAAATGGCATCCCAGAAGGATTTTGAGGGTACTTCTTCATGGTCACTGGGGACTTAGACCCTCTTAAAGCATTAACAAGAGCTCCAAGATTTTAGTGGAAGTTAAGTGAGCAGATACTTTTAAACACATTGAGCTCCAGGATACCCATATAGCTGGGCTTCCAGGGGGAGGTGACCAGTACAGGCAAGTGACACCATGAGACTCCTTCACTCGTGTTCTGCTGAGAAAGTTCTGGGTTTAGTGATGTGCACTTCACTGCCACCGTTCCCATTGGTGGTTGTAGTGATGATATACTGGGTGGTTTGCTGCTGGCTGCTGGTCTGTGATTCCAAGGTATCCGTGTGGGCTGGTGGCTGGGAAACACCCACCTGTACCTCGCTGGGGAGTGAAGGGTTTGGTTTGACATCCAGATCAGGCTGACCTTCAGATATCACATAGTGAGTCTGCATGGGGAATACAGCAAAAAAGAAGTCATTTGTTGCATCTTCTGTGCTAATAGTCTGTAATTTTCCTGTTGCTGTGCTGGAAGACATTTCAGCATGAACAAGGAACTTGGAAATTAAGTCCTACCTCATTTAAAAGTACTTGAGAGCAACATAACCCTTGTCCTTTGTTTTCAAGTACAGTGGGCTACTTTGCATTTGGCTAATGTACAAGCAGTTAAACTAATTACACAATTAACTACAAATTAAAATGTCATTTTTTAATACAGCTGTTCTGGAACTTTTTTTGATTTTCCACGTGTTCTAGCAGAAGTGTCCAATATCAACGCAGTACAACAGCTGTCTCCTTATGCTGGATTGCCTACTAGGTAAGACAGCGTAACTCTTTGATAGCTTTCTGTTACCCACAGGATTACCAAGTGAGAAATGTTTCCAGAAACTGCTCTGAAATTTGGTGTGATGGATACATAAATGTTTTTAAGACTGTCACTACCACTAAGTCATACCTTGCCCTGCACATGTGACTAAGTGAACACTTTAAACTCGAAGGAGTCATACCTACAGGGGCCAGACAGAGTGGGCCTTGCAAACAGTTTAGATGCAGAAAACTATTTGTGATCACCACAAAGGAGTTTGATGCTACTTCAGAAAAAAAATAAAACAGATCTTTTCCTTGAAGCTCATGAGATTATTTCCTGCCTTCCATAACCTAAAGTTTACAACATTACTAGGTTTGAACAGTAGCACTTTTCTCCTTAGCTTATGACAACACAACATATCATTTCTTGGCTGTTTTGCCTACAGATTCTGCCCAGCAGAGAACTTGCTACGATTATTAGAGAAAGCCAATGCCCTTTCAGACTATACACTCTGGACCTCTACGGGTACACCATAATTCTCTACTCTGTGCCCCAGTCATCACTTTGGCACTCCTTTAACCTTCAAACTGAAGGCTTTAAGCCTGATCATTATTCCAGACCAAAATATATACAAAAAAAGCCATGATTGCTTTCCTTACCTGAGTGACTGCTTTCACTTGCCCTGTGTTGACAGTGGTGACCGGTGTACCTACAGCGGTCTCTGTGATCACGTACTGGCCTTGGGGAATGGTCATCATCTGAATCTCCGATGCTAAAAAACGGAAATTGGACAATCAAGACCTTCAGTCAAACTCAAAGACCACCTTGAAAGATCATGTCTTACATCAGTAAGATTTCAAGCCTGAAACAGTAGTGGTTGAATAGAAATCCAGGTACTGTAAAGCCGTGTAAAGCTCTACAGGCCTCAACACAATTATGCCAGCTAACAAACTGCAGATTTAGCAATTCATGCACAGACAAGACATCCTGTTCTCACCCAAGAAATCGTAGAATTACCATCCAGAGCTGCAGGGACAGAAGAAATCATTTCATGTCACTGTCATCTCCGTGATTCTTTCAAGCATCCATCCTAATTTGAATGAGCTGCTATCCAACACGCAGATTCTTCCTGAATGCAAGTTCTTTGGAATAAAGCAGCCCAGTCTGCCTGCCCAAACCACCCAGAAGATAATTACAGACCTACAGTAGAAAAAGCTAGTACAACCATTTTGATTTGTCTAAAACCATTTATCTTCTTAGACCTCTGTGAATATTAAATCACAAAGCTTAATAAGCTCTGAAAAATACTATCCCATTTGGTAACTGGAGAAATGGAGCACAAGCAGTCCCACACAATAGCCAGACCACTAGTGAGAGCTACTGCTGACGCTTACAATAGCTCCGAAATGAGTTCCATGTGCTGGGAAGATAGGTGTGCTGAACTGAAGAGCCTTGCTGCTGCTGCTGCAGGGCTTGGTTTGGCGTAGATGTAGTTGTCTGCATCTGCGAGGGGCTGAGTTCCTG